AATTATATATATATATATATATATATATATAAAACAAATATAATAAATGTAGATATATATAAATTTCAATATCTTTTCCCAATTTAAATTTGTGTAATATTTTACATATTAAAAATTTTCGTATTAATATTTGTATAAAATATAAAATAAATATAGATAATAATAATTAATACTTTGGTACATATCAACGTTCTGATCTAATTAACGGAAGAAACGGAAGAGACTTATGCGGTTTTCAGGCATGCTGTTGCACTGTGCCATATTCGGCGCCATGTTTCGTCCTTTGAAACCAACGAGGATTAAGGTAAAGAACACCCCGGAAAATGCCGCGCTCGAGGTCAAAACTACATTATTGGGAAAAGGTGTGTCAACGACTTCGTTGCACTGTGTGCAACCAAACAGAAGCGGCTTCTTCGGCACAAATAATAACACGGAATACCCGACGGCGGCTGAACTTCTCGGCAGCAGCCCGAACATAGTAAAGTAATAAACGAAGAATCCTGTTCGCTTTGACGTTTGACATCACTTATGCCCGATTCCACCAACGATAGATTTACTTTAATCTCGGTTCAACTTGCTCTTCATCTTTTTCTAATTCTTAGAAAAAGGCGAAGAATAAGTTGAACTTATCGAGATTAAAGTTAATCCACGTTAGTAGAATCGGGCATTAATGTGTCACTTAACGACATGAAACGGATTTTTTTCAGTGCATCCAAATCCCTGCACTCGTTGCACAAGGTGCACGAGGAGACTGAGATTTTGGAAAGAAAAATAAGCACTTCGGAGAAGCGGCTATCTGCGCCGATATATCCTGCCGAAGGTACCGATATGGATACTAATGAAGAGAAGATTGCCGAAGAGAACAATCTGCTCAGCGGCGATTTGGAGCGATTGAATGGAAAAGTACCGACGGTAAGATCGACATATGCATAGAGAACTTAGTTTCTTAGAAGAACGAAAAGTTCAAGCAAATGAATCAAATAAATTAAGATAAGATAATTAAGATTTTAAATTAAGATTTTTCATTCTGTTGGATGTGAAAATTTTAAGAGGAATAATTTAAAAGAATATTTTGCAACAGAGTAGAACAATATAATTTTCTATTAGGATGACAGAAAGTATAATCCGCTTGGGATTATACTTATAATTTCAATTAAATATATAATAGAAAATAATCTACCATTGTGTAAAATTATAATTAATAAGATTCCAAAATTTATTTGTGCCAAACTTGATCAATAATCCGAATTTCTCGCAAGTTTTGTCTGTTCTTTTTGCAATTTTTAAAACACATCTAAAATTTGTACAAGATGTATAAGAAAAATGTTCACTTTTGCCAAGAAACGAAAATTTAGTATTTCCGAAGTACAAGAGCCAAATCTATGACCTGGAAAATTCCGCAAATCAGCTTTTGTAAACATCTCTGTTTCAGAATCCGGGAAAAAAGATCTAATATATGTATAATACTGACAAGTGCGAAAAAGAAGAAAACATACATGTTATTAGAAAACATGTTATTCTCGAATTATTTTGAAATTGAAAACATTCTATTTCATTATTCAGATCCGCCGACACACGATTAGCGGCAGGCGTCTCCGAACGGATTCGGAATGTAGTCAAAAGTCCCTTCGAATAGGCAAACGAAATCCGAAAGATCCACAGAGACCGTTTTATAGAGATGACATCTTTTACGGCGGTTCTTTGAACAGACTCCCTCATTATAAGTCTCAAGTAAGTTCCGCACACGTTCTCACAAAATTTTTTAAATTTTTCTCATATTTAGACAGTATTAGTATAAAAAAATTTATAACTTTTGTGCGAGTAATATAAAATTAAAGATTTATTAATTAAAATCTCGTTTTTTTTCTAATTTATATCTTTATAAAAATGTAAAATGGCAAGTTAAATTAAGATTAAATTCAATTGAGGTTTCTGATCGTAAAAAAATCGTGTTACTTAAGATATCAAAAACTTATCACTTATTTTTGCAGCAATCGTCAGTCGGTTATCACATGTCAGTGACGCGGTTGCCAACGGCAAAGGATGTAGCGGAGGAAGAAAGCGGAAGTTGCTACCTGTGCCCGGAAAGCGTACGGCGAATTCTGACCACAATGCTCGATTTAAGCCTCCTAAAAAGTCCGTCTTTTTTAATACTAGCGATCTCTGGTGGACTCACCATGATGGGCTTTTATACACCTTTTTTATATGTGACAGGTATACATATCAAACAAAAAAAACGGTAAACAATATATTTAATATAAATAAAGATAAAAGATTTTCATTATTATTTTGTTGTCAGACTCAATTACTTTATTATTAATATCATTTATTTACTGCTATTTACTTTTATTTGATATTTATTAACATCAAAAAACAAATAAATATTCTGTTCACAATTTATCTCTATTTGTATATAATACACATTTTCGCGTATTGTTTTTATTACTGTAAAATATAAATTTTTATCTATCTTTTTTGCAGATCGAGCAATAAAGGCTAACATTGACGCTTCTACAGCGATGTTTCTCGTTTCGGTGATCGGTATTGGTAACACTATCGGTCGTATCGTGTGTGGTTTAGCAAGCAGTTTGCCTGGAGTTAATGCCCTGGTTGTGAACAATGTATTTATCAGCGTCGGTGGTTTAGTAACTATATTTTCCGGCCTTTCTCTAACGGAGGGATATCAGTTCTTTTATGCGGCCAGCTTTGGCCTCAGTATATGTAAGCGATATATAAAAGCGCAAATGAAGCATTCTTAAAAACTTTATCTTTACAGACGAAAGCATAAGATGTAAATTACATTTAAAAATCTTATGGACACAACTAAAAATATATCTGTGTTTATTATCGCCTTATCTTATTTACATAACATCTTGATTTGAAATTTTTAAGCTTATAGTTTTAATTACATTCGTTAAACTTGCGTAATATATATTAAACACTTTTTCACAGCTGTCTTTGCTTCCCTGAGATCGATCCTCGTTGTGGATCTGTTGGGCTTAGAAAAACTAACGAACGCTTTTGGGCTGCTTCTTCTGTTTCAAGGTGTGGCGGCGACTGTGGGCGCGCCTCTCGCAGGTAATTAGAATGATATCGATCATCCTTCGGAAAATAGCAAGAAGCTTGATCGGAACGTTGATTTACAATCGCTTTATTTGAAAGCAAGCGCCTTTGGTTCTAAGAAATAGAATTATATACCGTTCGTTAAAATTATTCATTATTAAACGTGAACCCTGATAAATTCCCTACGAATTCTTTATAATAATAATTCATAAATCAGAAGAGCTGGATATTAATTTACCGAATAAAATTATACGTGCAAACAGGTGCATTCATGGATGCGACCGGGAGCTACGACGCTTCGTTCTACCTGTCTGGCAGCCTGATTCTCATGTCGGCTGTAATCTGTTACCCGTTAAAAAGGATCAACACATGGGAGAGGCGCAGAGAAAAAGGTTCGACCGCGATGGAAGCTTCCGCGTCTTGATTGAAGAAGACACAAAGCAGTGCCTTAACTCTCCCATACTCCGCGTGCGCACGCTCATTTGCGCCGCATATATATGTTGTACATATTAATGCATAATAATTTATAGCGAGCGCTCGAACCGAGAATATAATTATTACGGCACGCAAAAAACGCAAAAACGGAAATAATCGATTTCGTGCGTGTAATCGACAGAACGATCGCTCGCGTTCGCTCGCGCTCAAAGTGTGTAACGTGAGAGGAAAAATGTTTTCCGTATATTTGTGATCTGCTTGTCAAAGTTGCGATCACTTTGATAAGGACGAACCTATTCCACGAAGCGACTTAACGCTCTTATTCATGATCTATTGTCGCGCGATAGTAAATTCATAAGTGAATCTTTACATTCCGCTGAATTTCAATTTTTCGGCACTACGTAGATTTTTTTCCTTATAGAAGTTTAAAAATATA